CCCCAAAACCCCAAAACCCCACCTGGATGTATTAAAATCAATTGAGTTGAAGAATTGTAAGTAAATTAATATATAAAATTAGAGATGAGAAAATCAGTGTCACAGGCTGAGATATTCACCAAAGCTGAAAATGACTTTTCACTTCTATTAGATTCTATTTCCAAAAACAAAAATAATGTAAGATATATTCCTGTATATATTTTTCATGTTAGTTCTTACAATAAACATTAGGCTTTGAAAAGTCAATGTGCTAAAGATCAACAAAAGAATTTGAGAGAGAAAAAAGAAGAAAAGATGAGCTAAAACTAAAGCTGCAGTAGGCTGTACCATTGAAAGAAAGATCCGATTCTACCTCTAAAAGTCCAACATTGAAAGAATACAAAAAATACCTCACCAATTGTTCGCCACCTTTTCAAAGAACTGATCCTCATTCATATTATTTTGAAGAAAAGATAGGAAAGCTCAAAAATGAAGATATCAACAATACAACCTTGGTAATTCTTAACCTTTACTTAATCCTTAAATGACTAACTAAATTCATATAGTAATTGCAAGTCCACTTGCTTCCCAGATCTTATATGGATGTGAGAAACTCACTAGGATAGCCATTTGTTTTACATCCAGGCAAGGGTTTGAAGGAGTTTTAAAATGAAATCACCGATCCCTTGAACCCATGTGAGCCTAAGTACTCTGGATCTAATGGTATTAATAAATACACCTAGCCTTTAAAAAAGGAGATATTCAGTAGCACTGCTAAGATGTCTATCTTCAAAGTTTAAGAGGAGATCAAGGATAAAATATAGAGGTCTATTGAGGAGCAAAAGGAGAAAGATAGAGTCAAGAGATTTGAGTTAGATTAGAAATTTAAAACTGCACCTAGATGGCAAACTCATCATAACGGTCATCACGATACATTCTAACCACTGATAGTTGATGAAAGGGTAATCGTGAGATAAAAGGACTCGAGTGCTCTTTAACTTTAATTCAAGTTAAGAGATAAAGCACGCTTCAAAGTGCCTAAGAAAAACCCAGAATATTTCAGAATTGAGAAGACAGTTGTTGAATGAATTATTAATATAAGACAATTATTTTATTTCATAATTCTTTGTTAGATATATCTATTATCTATTTTTCATAAATTACTGGTTTATGGGGTTTTGGGGTTTTGGGGTTTT